AATCGGGCTGCTATTTAAAGAAATGAAAATCGGGCTGAAATAAAAAATCGGGCTGCAATTTGAAAAAAAATAAAAAATCGGGCTGCAATTTGAAAATAAAAATAAAAATCAGGCTGCAAAAAAATAAATAAATAAATCGGGCTGCGATTATCTTTAGATAATCGGTCTCCGATAAATTTTGATAATCGGGCGAGGGTAATTGGGTTTTTGGGTAATTGGGTAATTGGGTAATTGGGCAATTGGGTAAAATTGTGGAGGATTGTCGGGGTACCGGCCAGGGGACAGCCGATAGCATCAGGGATCATGCCAAGGGACCAATCCCTGCGCCTCCCCTCCGGTGGTGGTCCCCTCCCGTACGAACATCAGCTGTCTCTGCTGGGCCCACCCACTTTCACAGCGATAATGGGCCTCGGTCCGCTGCTTGCCAAATGCTAAAAAAACAAGAAATATGTCTGTGTGTGCATCTTTCCATGTTCTAGCGGAAGGTTCATTCTCATTTTGCACATTCGGTGAGTAGTTCAGCGAGGCCCAATGACTGGGCGTTCTATTCGGGTCAAAGACGGTAGGAGAACTGGATACTCGGGGCGCTCTGATAACGGCATAACGGGGTTAAACACAATTGGGTAATAATCAGAGGGGAAATCGTTGGCTGAAATCGGGGGTATGATAATTGGGTAATCAAGATAGGATAATATAATTGGATCATTTCTCGATTTATGCGTGTCATCCTTGAAAGCGCAGGGGCCATGCTAATCTTCCTCTGTATCGTTCCAATTTTCTCGATTTATGTGTGTCATCCTTGCGCAGGGGCCATGCTAATCAGGGCTACCGTCTTCCGTCGAACACAACGCATCCTGATAATGAATGTGTAATCAAGATAGGATAATATCATTGCCATTGGGTAATCAAGGCTGCTGTCTTCCCTCGAATACAACGCACCCTGATAATGAATGTATAGAAGCTATGTTTCCGGTCCGGTACCGCCAACTACAAGGGTGCGTTGTGTTCGGGGGAAGGCGGTTGGATAATTGAAGAGTCGAAGCTTGGGTAATTGGAGATAGGGGTTACCGTCTTCACCATATATTTAGGAATTAGACAGTACGGTCATCATAGTCGTTAGTATTTGGCTCATTTTTCAGTCCAGATGCAGCGAAAGCGACCGTGCGTTATATTCGGTAGGGTAATTGGGATTACTAATTACTCCTTTGGCCAGTTAACTTCGGCGTACCTGGCCGCAATTTCGGCGTTTCTTGAACCGAAATCGCGGCCGGCCAGGTCGTACAGGTGGGATCCCGGTAAGCCCTGACGATTTCGGTTCAGAAAACGCCGAAATTGCGGCCAGGTACGTCGAAGTTAAATCCCCCCAAGGGATAAAAATATTATAAACTCTGTCAATCGTATTTCAGAACATTTGATATATTGAAAGGATAAAGGAATACATAAGGTACAGCATAAGCTGATATTATCAGACGGAAGCATGTAGTAAAATGGTTAACTTCAAAACTCTCTAGAAAAACTATTGTAGATTCGTGTGCAAGGTTGTCATGTCGACTCACGAACGACAAAAGCGGAATTTGCTGACGGTCTGGTCTGGTCTGGATCGCGGTCATCACTTCTTGATAGGGATGCCAGAGGCCGGGATCCTGTCTACGTACAGACATTGACAAAGGGAGTCGGTGTTGTAGTGTGAACGCGAATTGGTAGTGAAGATGGAAGAATGTGAAAGGTAAGCGCTCCGGCGAGGGATATTTCGATGCCAAATAAATCAGATTAGTATATGGGTGCGTGTGTGTGGAAACGAAAAAATGCTAGGATCAGAGAGAAATGTGGGCGAGTCCAGGGTGCAGAGAGAGAGGGACGCTTGCGTTCGCTCGTTGGTCGCACTGCGGCAAACGGAGAGGCTGCGTCATTTTGTAGCGACGAGAGAGAGAGAGAGAGAGAGAGAGAGAGAGAGAGAGAGAGAGGAAGCTGAAGGCTGGCGAGGTTTTAGCTGCGCGGAGTGTATGTGTGTGTGTGTCTGTGTGTGTG